TAAATAATTAATTAATATTCTAGTACAATTAATATCTCATATTTTAGTGAACAATTAATATTCATATAATATAAAAAACTAGTAAAAACGATTATTTTAAAGGTACATATTACTCATCAATTCTTTTATAGAAATTCATTTCCCATGCCCTATGTTAATTTAGTCATAAGTGTTGCTGTTTTACAAGTAATTGTTATTTTACGATTAAAATTATATTAAATTATAAAATAAAAACTCTTTTATATAGAGAAGGAAGGTCTTAATGTCAAGAAACTTGTCTTTTATTTAAGTGTTTATTTTTTGTGATTTGATATAATTTAAATGGAAAATAATACATAAATCCTACTTCATTACTCACTCCATTACATACTAATGGTTTTTGTTACTTAATCCGTTATATACTTTCCTCTAACTCTCCTAATGCATCCAACCCTTTCTTTCTCTCTCCTTTGCTTTCTTCCTCTCATTGTTCCCACCTTAGACACATAAAACAAGTTTCTTTTTGAGATGATATAGTAGAAAGTGGAGTGCATATGAGTGGAGCCAATCAGCAAAAAAGGAAAAATAAAACAAGGGAAATTTTTGCAGTTTTAATATTATGCGTAGTTTTGCCATTTGTTTGATATGCAAAGTTTACTATTGGATTGAGCTGAAATTTTGTCTAAGTGCAAGAGATATTTTATCTATATTCTGAATGGTCAATTTTTTGTTTGGGACATTATAGGTTTTGATTTTGTGCCCAGAACAGTAGCTTTTTTTTAGTAATATATTTTTCTGTAGTTTTGGTACTGCACCTAGTTTTGCCATGTTGTTCAAAATGCAAAAGTTCACTATTGAATTGAGCTGAAATTTTGTTTGGGTGTTCAAAAGATATTGATCTACATTCTAAATTGTTATTTTTTTGTTTATAGTTTTGTAGATTCTGATTTTGTGCTCAGAACAATAACTCATTTTTGGTAATTTGTTTTTCTGTAGTTTTGGTATTATGTGCAGCTTTGTCTTTTGTCCAATTTGCAAAAGCTCACTGTTGGATTGAGATGAAATTTTGTTTAAGTGTTCAAGAGACATTGATTTATATTTTGAATAGTTAATTTTTCGTTTGAAGCTTTGTAGATTCTAATTTTGTGCCTAAAACAATAATTTATTTTTGGTGAACTGTCAATGTGTAACGAATTAAATAACGAAGACCATCAATGTGTAATAAAATATATAACGAAGTAAATGTATGTATCGGTATCTAATTTAAATTATAAAATAAATTTTTTTAGTCATTTTCATCTTTAAAGAAATGATAAATAGCTATGTGTGATGAGACATAATTCACTTATAGATAAATTTTATATATTATATTTATATAAAATTTTAATTAATTATTTTTTTTATTTTTAATATTTAAGAATTATCACAACTTTTTAAATAAAAAAATTATTTTTAATCAATATAAATAAATATCAATTATTAAAAATAATTAATTAATTAAAATTTTATATAATTATAATGTGTAAAATTTATATATAAATAAATCTCTATTTATACGTAATTAATTAAAAAAAAAAGATATTTGTAAGGGGTAAAGAGGTAGTTGTCTGATGAAAGAAATGGGAGAGGTGGTTCCCTTTCCCCCCAAAGAAAAACAAAAAATGGAAATGGGAAAGGTAGGCCGTGTACTGCGAATGAATTGACGAAATTGAGAGAGGGTGAAAACGGTATTAAAAATTATAAGTCTCTGGAGGCGGCCAACGGAGAATGCAATCACTGATATACGTGGCGAACAGTCATATGTAATGTATGTATCAACAAAAGCGGCGAATAGTCATATGTAAATCAACAAAAACAGTAAATCACAAATAAGGCAATAAATTGGATGTGGCTATGGAGTATGGAGACATGTTTGTTAAGTCAAACAGTTTCTAGGTATTTTACCTGCCTATTTTTTTTTTTTTTTAAATAATTGCTCTTGATGTTTTGAAACATTGATATATAAATTAATTTTAATTTATTAAATAATAAAAAAAATTTCGAACAAATATTGTTAAGATATAGGATAAAGATATTTTTATTATAAGTTATATAAAAAAATATATAAATTAATATTAATTTTTATATTTTTATTATATTAATGAATTTAATTAAATAATTGATAAATAAAATATTAATTTTCATTCCTTTAACTTAAATTTATGTTAATAGGTGTATTTATTACATTTTTAACTTATAATCCAATAACACAAGTTAAAAAAACTCAATACACCTATTTAAGCTTTTTAGATTTTTTAGACATAAATTTTAAATAAAAAAATCAACTTATTAGGGTATTATGTATTTTAAATTTTAATAATTATGATGTGTAAAATTTATATATAAATAAATCTTTCTTCATATGTAATTAATTTAAAAAAATATATATTTGTAAGGGTAGAGGTAGTAGTTTGATAAAAGAAATGGGAGAGGTGGTTCCCCCGAAGAAAAACAAAAAATGGGAAAAGGTGGGCTGTGTACTGTAAATGAATTGACGAAATAGAGAGAGGGTGAGCACAGGAGAGGAGAGAATGCGCAGATAAAAATGTTAATTTTTAATTTTTTATTTAAAAATATTAATTTTTAATTTTTTTATTTAAAGATATTAATTTTTAATTTTTTTATTTAAAAATTAATTAGATAATAGTGTTATTGTTGTAAATAGATTTTTTAATTGAAATATTAAAATTTGATATTTTTAAATAAAAAATAAAAAATAAATATTTTTAAATAAAAAAATAAAAAATTAATATTTTTAATTACGCCTTTTATCATGACAACGGTATTAAGAAATGTAAGTCTGGACGCGGCCAATGGAGAATGTAATCACTGGTATACGTGGCGAACAGTCAGATGTAATGCATGTGTCAACATACGCGGCGAATAGTCACGTGTAAATCAACAAAAACAGCGAATCACAAATAAGGCAATAAATATTCATGATTTAAATAAATTAGTAATTATTTTTATTTATTAAAAATAAAAAATTTTGAATTCGAATTATATAAAATATAAATTAAATAAAATAAAAAATAATTATTTTTTATTATACAATTAAAATAAAAAAAACAATAAATAAGTTGGATGTGGCAATGGAGTATGGACACATGTTTGTTAAGTCACACAGTTTTTAGGTATTTTATCTAACTATTGTTTTTTTCCTTTTTTTTTTTAATAATTGTT